TTGCCAATGATATCGTCTGCACGGCAATGCAGGCGCAGGCTCAAGCCCACTATCCTCGGCAGAAAGCACATTGACAACAATGTGCTGAAGACTGCCGGCAGCATCTTCGCCAAACTCGTCGAAGTTGGAGCCAGCACGTACGCCAAAGACGTGAGTTCGGGCAGCGGTGGCCACGTATGCTTTCTTGATTCGACCATCACCAAGCGATTGGGGTAAGTGGCCTGGCCATCATCCCCGCCATCCCCGCCAAAATCAGCCGCCCCATCAAAATCGTCGTCCGTGTAACCCCCCTTGAACGTCGCCTTCTCAAAGTCGCCCATTTCTGTATTCCGCAGACTCCACTCCCCGCGAGAACTTCGCCATCGAGGGTGGATGGACTCCCCAATGAATTCGCTTGCCCGGCCAAGGCGCGTCACTAGTGCGGCCAATACATGACTGCAGTGCAACCCACACCTCATAAGCTGACACAACAATCCTTCTGGATGGCGATGCGGAAAATTCCCTCGAGTATTTGGAGGATTTGGCAGAGCAAGTGGAGGGTCGGGGAAACCTTTGTGCTGACGTGCCAGCGGAGGCATTCGAGGAGAGCGTCAAGGAAAGCGATGATCCTGATATCACCATGTATGGCACGACATCCTTAGCGTCATTTTCGGAGCTTGTTCGAGAATGTGCCGATCGATGCCATCGTGAAAGTACAGTACAAATACCCTAGCACTACTCGGCGGGAGAACCGAAAGGTTGGCCATATTGTTGTGGTTGGGCCGGAAGGTTTTCAGTTGTGCACGTGCTTAAAGCTTATGAGGTGTGGGTTGCACTGAAATCATGTATTGGCCGCACTAGTGACGCGCCTTGGCCGGGCAAGCGAATTCATTGGGGAGTCCATCCACCCTCGATGGCGAAGTTCTCGCGGGGAGTGGAGTCTGCGGAATACAGAAATGGGCGACTTTGAGAAGGCGACGTTCAAGGGGGGTTACACGGACGACGATTTTGATGGGGCGGCTGATTTTGGCGGGGATGGCGGGGATGATGGCCAGGCCACTTACCCCAATCGCTTGAAAAACATCCAAGGCAAAGCGTATGCTGACTATGTTGCCAAGTTCATGAAGTGGGCTTCTGCCGCGGCAGCGAAAGTTGATGGAAGCCCGGCGTCGGTGCAAGCTTTTCAGGCGTTGGTAGATGTCCAGGAGCGTGAATTCGACGCGTTTGTGCGGGGCCCAGGGCCTAATAACGGATTGGTTGGGCTGGGTAACCCGCCTATTACTCTTCCCAAGGGCAGGAAGGAAACGAGACACAAAGATGGGCAGGGCACAGAAGGAGGTGGTAAGAGGCCATCTAGTCAAACTGCCGGGGGGGGGGGGGGGGGGTGTACTCATAGTCGTGCATGCCGTAGTCGTTTGACCATTGACCTCGCATCCCTACAAAGCCGGGACGGAGCACGCCGGGTTCTCACCGGACCAGGCTCTCACATCACCAAGCGCGAAGCGCCGTGAGGTATTCGGCGAGTCGCATGAAGGGTGAGCTGCATCCTGCTAAGGGTGTTCGGCATCTTGTGCTTACTTCCTTGCGTACGGATGACAGCTACGTATGACTTAATTTATTTTCTGGTGCTTTCACTTCCAGAGACAGTTGTAAGCACTGTGTAACTGCCTCGAGGAAGCTTGACCATTTTAACACAACGTGGTGCGATCATCCCCCGTTGCGCGGGGTGAGGGTTCTCGACCCCGCACAACATGATCTACTCGACCACCATTATGGTTACCGCCAAAAAAAAAAACGAGGTAAAAAAAAAAAAACGGTAACCTGGTTGTCGAGTTCACGAAGTGAATTGGCTTGTTTTACAACGTCGTTGCCAAGCGACGAAAACCCAATCCCGATGGCAAACACCGAGTGGGGGGCTTGTTTTACAACGTCGTTGCCAAGCGACGAAAACCCAAACCCCGATGGCAAACACCGGGGGGGGCGGCTTGTTTTACAACGTCGTTGCCAAGCGACGAAAACCCAACCCCGATGGCAAACACCGAGGGGGGGGGGGGACTGCCGGGGGTGGTGACCAAAAAAAAAATGAGGGTGTTTGGCGGAACCAGCGCTGCCGTCATGAATGCAGTGTCCTCGTACTCGGCAGAAAAAAAATGAGGGTGGGAGGCGGAACCAGCTCTGCCGTCATGAATGCAGTGCCCTCATACTCAGCAGGGTGTTGAACGTGTAGAAGTGTGCTTAGAGTACCGCATTTTCGCGGTCTTGGAGATAATTTGTTGTCCCTGAATCGGCACGATGCGCTGCTATTGTATGTAGACTATATACTTCTGTCGAGCTTGAGGGTGGGGTTGTGAGGGTGCCCTCTGTGTTTTGGTTTGTTTGTAGGAGCTAGACTGTAGGCTACACTAGCCTGTGTAGACTAGACTGGGTCAACGCTACCTAATTGCTTTTTTACCCATTGAGTTTTGTTTGATGTTGATGTCAGCCTGCTGGCGTTCGTGTCGTGCCTTCATCGACGGTCTGTTCGGGTGCGAAAAGAGTGGCATCGCTTGGGTTTATCCAAACATTCCCAATTACCGACCACTTTCAACGCCATCTCGGATATCCCGGCTCGAGTCTACACTGATTCGTCCCAAAACTCGACTCCACCCTTCGATTCGTCCCAAAACACTTGCTGTTTTTCAATCACACGTCATGCAAAAAAAAACGGATGTGTACATCCCTCTAACCCTGCGAAAGATATTCTATACAAAAGTAGCTCGACACCTAACAACAGCATTGAATAAATCTGCCACCGAGCGTGGACGCCGGCGGCGGGTTCGGCCTCTCTAGGTATAGCCCAGCAGGATTCGGCCATGTTTCACCTTGTATGACGATATTTTGAAACAACAGGATTTTTGAGACAGACTTGAATTTCAGACAGCAGTGGTGCGGTGGGTGGGCCCTCGCGGCGCATGAAGACATGTGTCCAACATGTATACTGCTGTGCAGACAACATATACATCTATACCGTCGGCAAAGATACACTTCGTATGTGCCTGTCTGTCTACTCAAATATACCTTCTTACTACACCCACAGTAGCAGCAGCAAAAGATACACTTCGTATGTGCCTGTCTGTCCTCAAATATACCTAGCAGTGCGCAGACAAGGACCTTGCGCACACGTCTCCTCGGCAGCACAGCAGCGCATTCACACTCTCAAGGGACGAATCGAATGTATCCTTCACAGGTTGGCGCCTTTGTGAGCCTAGAATCCTGTGTGGCATCACCTTGTTGGGGCCGCACTCTGTCATCGAACGGCAGTGTTGTCAGAGATCATGATTACTTGGGGAGCGATTTCTGCACCGTTTGCCCCTCTTTTTGCGCGCAAATGCAGCCATACTCACGTTCAGAGGCCCCAAAGTGGTGTGGAGGGGACGAGAGCTATCCAGGAGGGCTGTGGGGCGAGCGCTTGTCACAAAATGCAGCCCTGTCTTGTCCCAGGGGTCGCGTTTAATATACGAGACCCTAGGGTCGCGTTTTATGTACGGGACCCCAGGGTCGCGTTTAATGTACGAGACCCTAGGGTCGCGTTTTAAATACGGGACCCTAGGGTCTCGTATACCGGCTCCCACGGAGGACCTGCCCCCTTTTCATTTTCTTGCTATCACAGCTCCGCCCCTTTACCCTACCTGTGGGGCCTGCATCTCGTACAAAAGGCTCAAGATACATACATAAATTGGTGACGGACCAACATATCTGGGCCGACTATTCAGGCCGACCACATCATCACCGCCCGGTCCCCCGGTGCTCAGTACTATCGACTAACAGAACCAATCCGTCTCTGTTCTACGTATGTATCCACAAACTACTAGGGCTCAGCCTTGATAGACGCGTCTATCTATTCGTCTTACTCCGTTTCCCACAGAGAGGTCCGTCTAAGCCTCGGTATGACAGCTTAGCACGTCTTGCAGTCGACTTAGAGGATGGGAGATCTTCAGATACGGCGTCTGAGCAGCTATTTCCGAGGTGACACGACATGAACACGCACACAAGACACGTCCTCTCCGTAGAACTAGTTATCCTGCCCTCAGGCCCATGATTTCATATTTTTCGGGTCGGACGGGTATCTTCTTGAATATTTTCAAAATTGATCACAATCTGGCGGCCCCCCTCGCACACACGCACGCACACGCCCGCCACCTCGGGTCACAACCACAACGCCACACACACAATGGCACCACCGGCACCACCAGCACCAGCACCAGCACCACCAGCACCACCAGCAGGTGCTGCTGTCAGCGCACCCGTTTCCACAAACTATCAGCCAGGACAACACCGTCGTGGCCCAGGCCAACGACGCCATCCATGGTCGTATGTGCTTTTCCGTCGTTGACTCAAAAATCGCCCGCAGTTGGTTGTTGATTATTGTAAGAGTAATTATTTACTGGTTGATTCGTGTTTCCGGCTTGAGTAGAGCGATGGATGTCGTGTTGACGTTTGAGTCCGGATCGAACAACAGGCTTGAGCAAGTGTTCGCCAACAGTTTGTACGAATTGTGTAGTAAATGTTCTCGGATATTCGCTGGTTGATTCGTGTTTCCGGTTTGCGTAGAGCGATGGATGTCGTGTTAAGGTTTTGAGTCCGGATCGAATAACAGGCTTGAGCAAGTTGCTCGCCCGCAAGTTTCCCTTATTTTTAGGCCTGTGCTCGGTAGGTGATTTTTTTTTCTTTTTTAGGTGATTTTTTCCGATTGATTGCCAAAAAGAAAATCGGTGATTATTCTAGGTGCACTGGATATTTTTTCGGGGAAAATCGGCGACAAAAATAAGAAAAGGGTGAGAGCCAAGAAAGATTTTTCGGTGCTTTTCGGTGATAATTTGAAGGGTAGACTGCCGAAAACGTTCTTCGGCGATGTTCGGCGATGTCTAGGAAGTACTCCACATGAAAACGTTAAAACGAACTCTGGTGTTCTTTTTTTACGTATACCACAAGTGTGTCCGTACTGTGTACCGTGTGTGGGGGGGGTGTCTGCAGCGCGGTGCTTGGGTTGTGTTCGCTGTGTGCTGTGTGCTGTTGGCTCTGCTGCTGTGCTGCTGCGCTTGAGGGGGGTATCTGA